GGTTGATACCATTAGAGGAAAAATTGAAGGTTCTAAAGTGATCTTCCTATTTCAATGTCTTGAATACTAATTGATCATAGTTAGGATCATCTAATCATGAATTGAACTAGATTTAATTGAATAGGAATGATCTTGACTTGTAAAGTTGGAATTGAACCTTTATGATCAAGTATTACTAGAATCATCTTCTAAGGAACAATGTGATTGAATAGCTTGTAATTTAGACATGGATCATGATAGAATGAAGTTAAGCTTGAAAGTAGGGCTTGTAGCCATCATTGTTAGGGCTTTGGGGGTAAATATAATATGATGTGATCTTGTGGGGTAATTCTCTTCCTCTTATACACTTAGACATGAATATGCTAGGAGATTCAAGTTCTCTCACATAGAAGGATTCTAGGTTGACCTACTAACCTAAAATGAATCAAAGAATGTTAGACTAGATAGCTTGAAGTTGTGATATATGATCCCTTCATGTATAGCCTGACTTAGTAGGATAAGACCAAGGTTGATAGCTTAGGATGAGGAGCAATTCTCTCCTAAGGGATAACTTGACTTAGCATTGTAGTATGCATCTCATGGTAGCATGAGTTAGTAGTAGTCATGGTAGCCTAGGATTGAGGATTTATACTCTCCTATGGGTAGGCTTAAACTAGCATTGTTAGGATGCATTCATGGTAGCTTGACTTGGTTTGGCGAAGACCATTTCATGGTAGCTTTGGGATAGAGGACTTAGACTCTCCTAAGGGTAGCTTGACTTGCATTGTAAGATGCATTTCAAGGATAGCTTGAGTTAGGATTAGTCATGGTAGCTTAGGGTTGAGAATCACACTCCCCTATGGATAGCTTGAATTTGTGACCTAGTACACTTGTAAGGGTAGCATGACTTAGTTGGTTTAGGACTATTTCATGGTAGCTAGGATAGGACACTTGTACCTTTCCTAGAGTAGCTTGGACTTGCATGTTAGTGTGTATTCCAAGGTAGTTAGCTTAGCTTAACCTAGTTATGTTAGTAAGATGATAGCATGGTCTAGCCTATTAGGGGGTTATTCCTTAGTAGCCTTGAATAGAGGTAAATAGAATAGAGGGATTAGTCTCCAACTAGTGAACCTTCATGATAGTCTAAATGAGTACTTAGTGTGGGTAGTAGTATGGGATGCTATCCATACATTGCACAAGTATGACTTAAGGCTAGGTATGAAGGGTTCCCACACATAGTATGACTTAGCTTGGGTTGTTGCCATAGTTGCCTTCCAAGATATGATTGACTAAGGTGGTAGGTTCCTTTGTCTATATGAAGTAAGCTTATAGTAAGACCAAAAGTAGAGTGAATATGACTAAGATTATTTCATGGCTATGCTTAGTGTGAACGGTAGTATGGGATGCCTTTCATGCATTGCACAAGTGTGTCTTGAGGTTCCTTAGAAGTATGGTGCCCTTATGGTAGAAAGACTTATGACTTAATCATGCACATAGACTATGATTAAGATGACTAAAAAAGGGATACTTGGCTTGGGTGGCATTTTGGGATGCTATTCTTGCTTTGCACTTGTATACTTTTGAGGTTACTTGAGAATGGTGCTATTATGGTAATGATGACTAAGTGTCAATTATGTTGATATGATTATGACTTATCTCCTATGCTTATTAACTATGTCGTATGTTGACTTATGTTTATATGAAGCTTATGTTGG